GCATTGGATACATGGTATTCTTTGTTTCATCTCTTCAATCTCTAATGGATTTTCTCGAAAGATTCAACTATTAATGTGCTTCAGCTTCTTTACGGTCTAGTTTTATCTTCTTAAGCTCTTCTATCATAAGTTAATGCTGTCAAGCCTATTCTGTCAGAACTATGGTTCAAGCGGAATCAACAGACATTTGAACATTATTCTTCTAGTGACATTTGTTTAAATTGGATGTGTTTCTTCATCCCTCTCAGGACTGTCTTTACTTTTCACTCATTCAAGAGAGTTTGTATCATGAGCATTGTTGTTCTCTTCCTTTGATCAATGAAAAGTTTGTATCATTTTAAGAAAAGGAGTTAGCCGTATTGGGAATTGAGTAGAATCTTCCAGTTTTTCTTTCTTATCCCAAGCACTTTCTACTATTTTTTCCTTCCATTTATGGTTCTTATCACTCCTTTAGTTTGAAGGTCATCCCTTCTTTTTGTATGTTTTGGCTCCCCCTAAGAAATAGGTTTACTATATACATTTAGAAAAAGAATGAAACCATATTTTCAATAAAATCTTTGCCATTTACATATCGTTCCTTGATTCAATAAAGAAAACGTATCTGAGCATGTTTAATTGTAAGGAGATTAGACCTCCTACTCAATGTGTTACATCTTTAGTTCAATTTGATTATGCTTTCTTCAAAAGCCAAACTACTCGAGTAATGATACTGACTGGGTATGTATTTGTTTTCTGAGGGTTAATATACTGATTTCTGGTCACTTAATGGAAGGAATTGTTCTACTACACGTGTGAAATACGATTAAGTAGCATATTTATTTGACAAAATCACTTACAATTATAAAGAGAAGATCTGCCTAATTTCTACAAGTTACACTTTTATTTGGGATAGGTCTGTTTACAGAGTTTATTCGTAGTTGGCAAATGTGGTTTTCTGAGTTTGTTCTTGCATCATGATTTCTCCATGTAGGGTAAAGTAGTATCTTTTCCAATGTACGTAGAGGCTATACAATTTTCTTTTCATGAAGAAAGTATGATCCACACAGCAGTTCGGGCCTTGACACTTAATGTATACCATGGTTCGTTCGTTGTTGCCACTGGTTTCTTATCTCTCTGATTAAGAATATAATGGAAACTTGATAGATTTCTAATGTGCTAATTTCAATTTTAGTTGGAGATGATTGTGTCAATAGATTCATCACCAGTCCTCCTCATGCAGAATATTTCTCAAATTTAGTGACCTTTTTTAGGAAGCAGTGCATTAACTTGAATGAGTTGGTCTTTGAGACAAAGAGGTAAAAATCTGGAATGACACCTTTTTTTTTTTTAAAAAAAGGAATTAATATAATATTGCACAGAAGATCACACTGCTTTAAATCTCTGTTTGGTTTCTTTGACAGAAGCACTGAGCTCTCAACCTCTACAATTCTTGCTGCTATAGACGAAATTGAAGACAACCTATACTATATTAGTGATATTATTTCTGCAGGAATTCCTGACGTGGGAAGGTTAATAACTGATAACATTTTGCGGCACTTGATATTTCCTTTACTTCTTCCATCTTTGATGATAGAGGTGGTTAACGTATTGACATTTTCTTACTATCTCCTTATCCTTTAATGACTTTCTTTCTAAATCATGCTGTTATCAACATTGTGAACTATCATATATATATATATATATACACACTTCAAGGGCCTACTAAAAAACTAATCCAAGAAAGAGAGTCACAAAGACTAGCTGTACAAGGGCTCCAATCCAAAAGATTAAAACCTAGCTAATAGTTACAACTTGCAAAACCCTTCAACAATGTCACATTAAGCCACTCTTGATCTTTCCACCGCTAATAATTCTGTTATTCTGCTTGATCATCCTAATGCTCCAAAAGATTGCAAAATAGGTAGCGGTCAACAGAAACTGCCCCTTAACTCCAAAGGGAGGGAACATAAGGATGTAATGAATGAAGGAAGCACAATCTCTGCTTCGAGGGAGAGAAACCCCAATTCGCTTTAGTATGATTTCACTGCAAAGAAGCAAACCAGCATTTCTAAAGGATATGATCAAGTTCCTTGGTCATGTGCCTACCGAGGATGCACCAATGCGGTCCCACCAAAAAAGATGATGTAGAATATGTGGTCCGTTGTGTTAACCTTTCCAAGTAAATATGCCACACAAAAAATGGATCTTGGAAATTTCACCTTTGAAGGGACCTAAGAGAAGAGAGGGATCACTCAAGAGAAGGAACATAGATTTACAAGAACACAACCCCGCACCAAACATAGATGTTATGACCACTTTGATAAGTAAATTCCCACTCTTATTCCCACTCCAAGAAATTATGGAATTAAAATAATAAACAAAGTTTTTTAACAAATTATTTATTAAGGGCTAGTTATAGCAATCTCATCCGCTACTTCAACTATGGAAATATTCACTTCTGAAGCTTCAAATGGTTCTTCTTCCTCAATCGAATCAGCTTGTAACACATGAAATAACGATTGAACCAAGTCTATCCAATTTTGTAGATAAAGAATGAATGCTTGTTGAATCTTCTCGGTCTTGGATCGTGTAATAGGTCCAGTTGGAACATTTGGAGCACTGTGATCCTTATCATCTTCTCCCTCTTCAAAAGAATTCGTCCTTGAATCAGGAAAATTATCACCTACGTCAAAAGGACTCAAGTCAGTAACATTGAAAGTAGAATGTACTGAAAATTCTCCTGGAAGATCAATTTTATAGGCATTGTTATTAATTCTTTCAAGAACTTGGTAAGGACAATCCCCTCTTGGATGTAACTTTGTCTTCCTTTAAGATGAAAATCGCTCCTTGCGAAAATGTATCTAAACCCAGTCACTAGGTTGAAAAATGATTTCCTTTTGTCCTTTGTTTATTCTTGAAGCAACTTTGAAATTTTGTTTCTGAATTCTCTCCTTCACCACTTTGTGCAATGTTTTGATCAAATATGCTTTATTTGTGGCTGCTTCACTCACAAAAGTATTAGAAGGAATAGGAAGCAAATCAAGAGACGTAAGTGAATTAAATCCATAAACAACTTCAAAAGGAGAACAATGAGTGGTACTATGAATTGCTCTATTATATGCACTCTACAAATGGTAAACATTCGTCCCAAGACTTAATATTCTTAGAAATAATAGCCCTAAGCAACGCTACTAATGTTCAATTAACCTCCTCAGTTTGCCTATCAGTCTTGAGGATGAGATGTAGTTGAAAACAACAACTTGGTACCCAATTTACCCCACAGTACTTTCCAAATGTTCCAACTCGACCTATTACACAATCAAAGATCGAAAAGATTAAAAAAACATTCATTCTTTATCTACAAAATTGGATAGACTTGGTTCAATCGTTATTTCATGTGTTACAAGCTGATTCGATTGAGGAAGGACCGCTTGAAGCTTTGGAAGTGAATATTTTCACGCTTGAAGTAGCGGATGAGATTGCTATAACTAGCACTTAATGGATGATTTGTTAGAAAACTTTATTTATTATTTTAATTCCATAATTTCTTGGAGTGGTAACAAGGGTGACAATTTACTTGTCAAAGTGGTCATACATCTATTTTTTGGAGATTTAAAGGAGAGTGGGAGTAACTCACAAATCATGTCCACTAACTTCCTTAGTGGGCATTTGAAGAGTTGGATATTTCTTTTGTGGATAGACTATAAATACCCACAAAATACTAGGTAAAAGTTAGATTTTTGGATGAATGAAATTTAGCTCTCAAATTGACATTTTCACCCTTAGAAATTAGAAATTTGAGCATCATTCTTGCAATTTCTAAGTTTCATGCAATTCTTGTGGTAGATTACATATGAGCTATTCAAACAAGTCTTGATCAAGTTCGATGGTGGAGTGACTCAATTTAGAACAAGGTTCCAAATCTTACTTTTAAATCTTTGATTTTAAGAGGTAATCTAATTCTAGCCTTATCTCTTGGTTGATCCGAATTTTGTATAAGGAAGTGTTAATTTCTTTGATTCAAGGGTTCTTGCTCCAACAAAAGCTTGGATGGTTGGGCTAAGGATGAGTTAGTTATTAAACCTGATGTAGGCAATGCTTTTTATATCTCCCAAAATTCTTAGTGGTTAGGCCTTCAAGGTACCTTTTTTGGCCTATCTGCCTCATAAGTGGATTGTTCCTTTTTCGATAGATTGCAGTAGTTTTAAGTTCACACATCTCTATTATTTGGGATTAAAAAATCTTTTTACATTATAGCATTTTTGTTATTTGACCAGTTGTCGTTTAAACATCCAGGGAATTCAAATTGGAGCTGTCACTTCTCTATATTTACTTTGTTGCATTTTGCGCATAGTTAAAATAAAAGATCTGGCAAACACCATCTCTGCTGCCTTTTTTTGTCCATTGGATTCTTTCTCCCCACATTGTGAAGGCAGACTGATTGGAAATATGAATTGGTTATGTTGTGCAAATAGAAGCCAGTCATCAGGAAGTGATAGCATTGTAAGGCAGCCCTTGGATACCGAGTCTTTAAGAAAAGAAGTATTATATTCTTCTGCTCCTAAAACTGAGTTAGAAGGTGCGTCTACGAAGAATGGTTGTCGAGGCTCCCGCTTGGATTTGAGGTAACGTTTTAGCCAATTAGAGCTAGCTTAAAGTTCTCCTTAAATGATTAATCAAGAGCAAATAAACTCACAGCATTGGCTTCCTGAACTCTGCAACATATGATATCTGAAATCACAATGTTCTATTTTACTTGTCGAAAGAATTTGGTTGCAAATAATTAGCTGCCAATTTTATTTATCTTTCCTACACTTCTACTGTTTTAGAGTTTTGCATTTTTCTTCTTCTCTTCATCACCTTGTAGGATTTATCGTCTTGCCATGTCTTGAACTCCATGTTCTTTTTAAATATTCTTTTTTCTTGTAGAAAAATATGCAAGCGGTGGCACTAAAATTTAGTTCCTGCATCACAAAGTTTGGATCCCATTTACAGACTGGAGAAGTGTCTGGGCTTGTAACTGACTTCCTTTTTTTTTTTTTTTGTAATTATTATGAACTTGTATAGGCTTTTCTTTTTGTTTTTTCTAACCAGAAATGTTTTTTTTTATTATTATTGTTATCAACACCTCCATCAAACTATTTGTTCTACTTCCAACATTGTTTCTCTCTCTCATTCTTGTTTTTTTTTTTTTTTTTTTTTTTTTTTTTTTTTTTTTTTTTTTTTTTTTTTTTTT